ACGAGGAAAATAAGATTTTTTTCCATGCGTTACGGATGATAAAATGTCAAAGTTGAGATTGCTTAAATGCTGCGCTGGCGTTGCTATCAATCAAAAATGATCGATACTCGACGTTTCTAACTCGGCCGTTTTATATTTGGTTTTTCTATTTGTGCAATATACCTGCAACCGCTAAGTCAATATACAACGCAATTTTTTATCGCTACGATAACAATTTATCGACTAAAGTGATCATTCATACATCATGCGTTTCTATTATTACACACGTCATCTGTCCTGCAGTTCTTCCGGAAAATCTGTTGTATTTTTATCGTATTTTTATATACATATATTATATTAACAATGCAAATATTTAATTTTTATCCTTTTATGTTATATTACATGTGTGCGATATTTCGATAAGATGGAAATTGGACTGGGCTTTAGAGGTTTTAAAATGTCGCGTTTAATAAAAGTTGATAAGATGTGATAGCTCCGACTCACGCCAAGCCAAGCTCATCTTTGAAAGTTGGCAAAAGTCGATCTCTCTTTGTCTCTCTCTCTCTCTCTCTCTCTTGCTCGGCTATATAATCCTTTACGTTAAACTTAAATCAGAATACTCTAATATACGTGATTCAATTTAACGTTATTTCGCAACATCGGTTATCGGGGAAATAAAAAGTTCAAGTCTGTCTCTGACAGAAAGTCAGTAATTGAAAGGGACAACTATTTCATATATACAGATATCAGTTAACAAGTGACTGTCAGAGATAACAAGTGTATGTAGTGTTTCTCTATGTTGAAACGAATGCAATCAACGAGAGTGAAAATTGAAAGTTAACTAACGCTATTAGATTTAGATTACTAAAAATAGAGTTTCTGACATTTGTGAGCGATGTTACTAGATAGTTACGTATTTCTTACAGCGTTGAATTTTTTACACCTTGTGCCGCTGACTCTAATCGAGATGTAAGACTTTATATCTTTCGAAGAAGTCTGCGATTTTATTCTTGAGAAATATATTTATTCTCGAACCGAGTTTTACGGAAAATAGTTCAGCGCTTGAAATTCTATATCTGTAGCTGCAACGTGAATCTGGTCGATACATGTATTACTAGGATAATCCTACTATATTTCATGCATTCTAATTTACTAACAAATTTCAGGTACGTGTTGATTTTATACACGTGTTTCACTGTTTCTCATTAATTGCTGACTGAAAGAGCTTTTCTACGTATAAATCGCAATTAATACTTTACTTAATGTTCGCGCTTATTTAACTGTTTGAGTTCTAGTCAAATCATTGATATTTTCTTACTGAAAAGAAACTTGTCAGGAAGTTTGAACGATCCTTTACCTTTACGATTTAGAGCAATTAAATTTTAAGCCTTTAAAGGTTTTCAAAAATTAATTTATAATGAAAAATTTGTTAATCAATAAACATTAGCTTCTATTCTAATGATTCTTTTATAGGAAATTAAATAGATATTTTTCAAATAGAAAAAAAGTAATTTAATGAGGAAATTTCGCAACTAATTAAAAAACATACAAAAGTTTATTTTTACGAGTGAGAAACACAAATATTCACTCCGATTGTAAAATGTTGTTCATACGCTCAAAACTTTTGTATTTTTACTTGCATTAGGATATCGCATTGTTCAGAAAGCAGAGAGAATAAAGTTTTCTTTTCCTTTTTCAAATATATTATTTCAAATAGAAGAGTCATTTATTTTGTGATAAATTTAGATAGAAAGATAAAAGGACAAATATGATTATACTTATGCCGATAAAAAAAATTGACTAATGGTTTAAGTTAAGTAAATTGAATTGAAATTTAATCTTTCTGTATTTATCTTTTATTCTCACTGCATTTTCATCGAGATCAAGCGCATATCGACATTTATCATATTAATTTTTACTCCTACGTTTGAAATAAAATACATGTTTTGTATTAAAATATAGAATTGGAATTCTAAATATAAATATAATTTTTTAAACGTTTTAACGTTACATTAAAAAATTTAATTTGTTAATATATCATTTAATACAGTAATATTAAAATAATGTTATACACATATACATATATGAAATATATATTTACATATTTCATGATATTATTATTCGAAAATTTGCGAAAAAATTTGACTTAATTTTATACTTTATACAAATAATATTCATTTATTGTTGTATAAGTATATATAAATAAATATACGATTAAATTATAACGTACTGATAGAAAAGAAAAATCAAAAAGTTGATACATTTAGTGTGACAATTGTTAAAACAGAACGGCGAAATTAAAGATATTTTGAAGTACAGAACTTTCAGTTTTACACGACATAGATCAAGAAGTTGCAACGCGTTGAAAAAGCTTGCTACTTAAAGTAATGACAAGAACAAAGTCTTTTCAAAGGTCTTTTATTTCCGACTTGCAAATTGCAGTTTAAAACTTATTATTTCTTCTTGTTGTTCATATAATTAAATTTTGCTAGATTCTGTAATAACTACTTAGAATGATATGCGAATCATATTTCTGTCACTAGTATAATATTTTTAAATGGCATAAAATACTGAGAGAGAAATTCTGTTTAAATTTATATATGACAAAAAGTTAAATACTATTTGCAACGTTTATACTAATTTAAATTCCTTTCCATATCGTTGGACATAAAACATATTTGTGCAGAATATTATGTCATGTACGCTGATTTATACCGATTGAAAAATCATAATTCCAGTATTATGACAAATTCCCTTGGGATATGAAGAGAATAGAACGTGCTGTCTCATGCAGAAAAATACGCGTGTTTTGTACAGACGAGATTATTTCGCTTTTTTACATCACACTATTTTCCATCTATTTTTTCTATTAATTATAAGCTAATGGATATTTTTGTTAGCTTTACCGACAATTTTTATTAACCGAAATCATTAAAATCAAGCGCAAAAAATTTTAATTAGGTATTATTATCGTTTTTAATTTTTTTATAATTTCTTAGTTACCATATTTTCTTTTGACTGAGAATTAAATTTGTCGCAAAATGCTTTTTAAAAGTTGAATAATAAATAAGAATACGTATTATATGTAAGAATTAGTTATGTATATTATATAATTATATAAATATATATATATATATATATATATATATTTTTTTTTTAATAGAGCATTTCAAAGAGCAAGCTTAACAAGAAAAAATATTAAATGTTATATATATATATATATATATATATATATATATATATACATTAAGCTTGCCCTTTGAAATGCTCTATTAAAATTAAAATTAAAATTAAAATTAAAGCTCGACGTTTATACAAGGAGCTTCAAATTATATTTCTAACAATGAATTCGTAATTGTCTCATCTAAATGTTTTATATATAATTTTGTTACTTGGAAGTGTACGACTATTAAAAATATTACTTTTAAACTTTCCGCTTGACAAAATGGCCAAAATGCAAAACGCGAGGATTAAAAGTTGGGCAAAGCCATTAATATAAAGTAGCGCGCGTAGTGAAAATAAGTGAACGTAAGGGATGATCTATTATCCGGATGTGATAAATATTATAGGATAAAAGATTACATTCTCACCTTTTTTACGTAGACTAAAGTACCGAGATTCATATATCAATAATATCTTTCATGGTCTCCTTTTACGTTATTTTAATTTTTAATATATTATATAAAAGCAAAGTAATGGCAGCTGATATGTTTGCATATGTTTCTGTAAAATTTTTATGTGTCTAATACACAGCATTATATATTTAATAGAATAACTTTGTTATTATTAATATTATCTAGTAGTAAGAAACATTGATTTGAAAATTATACTTTTACTATTTTATTGCTAATACTATTTAGTAATCATTTTTTTAAAAAACTATTTTTTTACTTTTTTAAGACTATTTATTAAGATTATTTTTTAAGACTTTTTAAGACTATTATTTTCTTTTAAAACACATATTAATAAGTTTATTAAAAATATGATTTTTAATTCTCTTTTGTTGCATTAATACTTCCGTATACATTTTAGCGTAAAACGTTATAACGTCAAAAACATAAATAAATAGATGAAATGTGAAATAAAAAGTGTAATTTTGCGGTATATTTTAATAAAGTTAAGCTTGTGTAATAAGAATCTTGATCCAATACAGTACTGTTTACAAGTTGTTAATAGCTTCCAGTTTGTTTTTATTTTATTTTTATTTCCTTACTGATTACATCTTTATTCTTGGTTATTTAGCTTAATTTTTTCGGAAGTAATATCAAAAATCCAGCAATCTAAAAGTTAAGACTTTCATCGTTAAAACTACTTCAATGGATATTGAATAAAAGAAAAATAAGAATCCTATATGTGTGCTTTCTAAGATCACACGACTTCAGTTTAATTAAAAGTAGTGACTTTCTCTCTCTCTCTCTCTCTCTCTCTCTCTCTCTCTCTCTCTCTCTCTCTTTACGAGATATATATTCTCCTCGGGAAATAAAAATTATTCTATAAATGTATTGTAAACGCGCTTTATTTTGTAGAGACAAATATGATGTATATTTCTTATATAACTATTTTTTTAAATATATAAATAAACCGTGAAATCTTCCAACTAAGTAAATATTTTCCAGTAAAAATTCAATTTATATACATAATTGAGAGCTATTCTCTTATTGTTTGGCAATGATCGATCGACCTAATATCTCGAATTTTATTTGCAGCCTTAGAAATTGAGAGTTCGCAGTAAAGAAACGATAAAACTATTTCCACTTTGGTCTAAAATAAACGCTTAAATGTTTCGTACGGTGAGTTTTTTTTACTTCGTCTCACACACATACCCACATACAAATAAAATCTGGCAAAATAAATCTTTAAATAAAAAACAATGGCTGTTCTGATTGTTTAATCGTATCCGTATAATCAGTTATTTTCTTACTCTACATTTTTACAGTCGATATATTTTCTATACCTTTATTTCGAAAAAAAATAAAAAAGTAAAAAAACGTAATTAAAATTTCCTCTGACCTCTGTTACAGGCTGTATCGGATCTTCTGCTTGGTGTGTTCTGTATGCCTTTTACTCTTCTGGGTCAGATTCTCAAGAACTTTGTTTTTGGTCTCACAATGTGTAAACTGATACCTTATTTTCAAGGTAAGTGTCAGCTCAACGTGTTCAATGATATAAAAATCGGATATTATTGGAAATAGACGTCCAATCTTCGTCTTACCGTTCTCTATTGTATTATACATTATATAATAATAATAGAGACCAGAGAGATTTTCACAAATCCATAGAAACTAAAATAATATCTTGAAAATCACAAAAGGCACGTTTATTCACTAAAATATTTCTCAAGATGTAGGCGGAAAATTTATTAAATAAAGAATTATTAGATTATTAAAAATAATTGTTTTAAGTTCACATCGACGACCTTTTTATCCCGATAATTTATTAAAGTGCAAGGTAATCGTTATTTTGTTAATTAATTGTAATTGACGTTAAGAAGTAATAAATCGTTAATCTGCTAATTAATTAATAAAATTCATAATTATTTATCTAAAATGTGTTCTGTATAACGAACTAAAACAAGACATATTTTCAAGTATTTAGCTCTTTCAAGCGATTAAATCGAGAAAAATCTGTAAACAATCGAGAGCCTTGTTGATGAATAAAAAATAAACACATAAATAAGTCGTTTTTCTTAACACCTTTATTATGTTACCGTTATTATAAAAAATCTTTTTTATTAAGCGGATTTAATATTTTTGCCTTAATATATACATGGCTTTTATAATTAAATATAAACTTTTACTAATTCGATTTTTTGTATAAATATATTTTTAATTTTATATTCTATTATGAAAAACGTGATTAAATTGTTCTTAATATATAAATTTGTAATTTTATAATAAATATAAATTTATAATTTTATAGAAACTTATAATTATGCACATATTAATACAAACGTTAGAATTTAGTATAGATATAATCATTCTTTCATAAAAGCACTGAGAATGAGCGGTAATGTAATATCTTTCCTTGGAGATATGCGCTAGATGAGAATAATAGCTTTTATTCTATATTTCTCTCTCTAAAAAAATGCAATTATATTTTTTGTGTAGCGCACTTTATATCGCGTATATACACAATTGTACAAATATAAAAGTGTCTTTGAAGAGTAAAAAATTGCAAAAGTAGAAAAGGAAAAATAATACGAACGCAACTCAGCGAATAACTGCTTAATCTGGATTTATTTCTGTGCTTGTTCGTATAAATCAACGCATGAAGTGATTATTTTATAGTCGGACTGGCTTTAATCTGGCAATATCGATTGAATAAACGGCGCTTTGTTGTTAGAGATGAATATTATATACACATTTGTTATATAACATGATGGATAAACTTCCGTATATTTCAACTTGGATTCAGAATAGTTTCCGCTGTTCAATTTCCTCAATAATCGATTTAGTTTAATTTGCGAAAGTGTACAGACGAAGAAGATCCGTTTCCATAATTTATCGCGTCTTCCCTTTCCGTATATATAAACTTTGATTGGAAAAAGACGGAAATAGCGATACTGGTACAATGAGTGCAAATTAAAATCGCGTATGCTTGAATAATTTCCATGTCTTATATCCTCGAAAGTTTTATCAAAGAATAAAGATCCAATTACTAAGTGTAATTATTCAAATAATTACGCAGAATTATTTCGCTTTGTCATTTATTCGTAATGAAATGCGTTTAATGATTTATCGTGACATTTTATTTTTTTAATTAGACAGAAAAATTTATTCTTTTATCTTCTATATAAAGATCGGTATTTTCGCAATAAAGAATGTAAGAAAAAGTCACGTTTTTATATAGATAACACAGCGAAAAAAAGATTTATTCGTTCAATATTAAATTTCTTCGCACATTTTATTTTTTAAATAATTTCTATATAAATAAAAAAAATTACATTAATATATAGTTTGAAAAATTATTCGACACGCACTGGGCCTTTAGCTGCAGATATGTATAATGTTTTAAATTTTCGACGTTTTTAGTAATATTAATCTTTATTGATATCGAATTTTTGTTGAAAATGTAACAATAAAGATGCGCATACTTTGACGAGTCTCAATTGTGTGTTTCAAAAGTATGAAAAGCTCTTATGGAAATTGCAGCTATTACATGCAATTTTAAAGTCTCGTATTGAGAGTAAAAGAGAATGATACTAAGCAAATGCGACGGTAATGGCGGGACAGGAGAAAGATACACTATTAGGGAAACATTCTTGAGGGAGCACACGATGTCTTTGTTATTCTTGTCGACATGTTGTAATAACATTTTCAAATATAATGTTACGATACGGGATAATGATTAGCTTTATATGGTTAAAAACCTGAGAGATAATTATGGAAAAGTAACTACTTATTGAACGCGAACGTTGAATTTTGTTTTTATGCACGCCTAAGATCTTTTCACTATACCCTTAACAAAATGCATATAGAATCGATTATTCGAAAGAATTTAAAATTGTGATGCATTTTTCTCGAGTTTACAATTTCTTTTTGAAAGCTGGTATTTTTCACAAAAATTTCGTACAACAGCCACTTTTGCTCGCGGCGTATTTTGCTTTCGCCATTGATGGAATATTAAAGATAATTCAAACAAATGTATTGAAAGTATTGTATAATGTTTTGATAAAAAAAATTATATAAATATGTAAATGTTAAAATTGGAAACAATTGATAACAAGCAGTCAACAATAAAACAAAATCTTTTAGAAAAGCTCGTAAATAAATATTTGATGAAGATTTGAAAATCAAGAAAAACATTACTGAGAGAGAAAGATATGTCTGAATCTTTACATAAAAATTATTTGAAAAATGTTCTTCTTATAAGACATTGTTGTAATAAATCCTTTAACATTTTTATATAAACAATATAATAATAATTATTAAAAAATAAGACAATAAAATGCTATTAAAAAAGGCGGTTGATATAATTTAAATTTTCTTAGCTCTTTTTGATAATAAATAGATAAACGTATCTTTAGATCTTTGATGTAACGATTAATCTGCTACCAATGCAATACTCAAAGAGCTTGTAGCTGTCAGACGTGATATATTTGCTGAGCGAACAGCAAATTGCTATTGCGCTATGTACGTCGGGTAACCGTAATGATGTCATGCTAATGTTTTGGATTGCTAGACATTGTAACTAATGAAAATAACCGTAAACATATATATTATATATAATAAAAATATTATATAAAATATTATATAAAATGTTATACATATATAATAAGAATAAAATAAAATAGAGATAAAGAGAGATAGTTTTATATTATATAATAAAATTAATATATTATATATTTGTTATGTAATAAAAAATTAAATATAAATAAAATTTATGCATTTAATTTAAATATTTCTCAAGTATAATAATGATTTTTATATATTAACGAACCGCGCACGTGCGGTTATTAAATTTTATTACATTTTATCTTTGTGTATTGGAAGCTGTGGCAACAGATAATTGCTCGGATAAAATTACGCTGTATAATGAGCGTTGGTATGCTTTCGAAAGTCTAATTTCGATTGTAAAGAAATGTTATTCCAAAAAAAATTCCGATAGATATTTGTTGTATGCATATTTGTTGTATTTCATAATAGCCTCGCCACATTTGCGGAATTCAAATGCGCCAATAGTGATTGTTTCCGTGAAAATCGCGTTTCGAATATTCACCGATAAAGGAAAATGATGCCTCATACTTCGGCAGGAACTTTTATTACACCCCTGAATTCCTTGGGATGTTTTGATATTTTTTTAGATGTATATAACGCGCTATCAAATTTATTGCTTGCTTATGATTTGATATTCATGTAATAAAACCATATATAATACTTATATATAATATGCATATAATATGCACATACATATAAGTAATATAAAATAAAGCGTTTATCTTAAAATAAAATATACTATAAGGTATTGATAAAATATTTATTATCATTTGGTAAATCTCGCTAATGATTCTCACTGTTTGCTTTTCATATTCTTCTTTGGAGCTTCATGATATTGGATTTTTAAAAGTTACAATATATACGCGCGATTGCACAACAGCACACGATTGCGCAACCGTAAAACCGAACGTAACTTTTGCACGCATAACAATAACCCGCGATGTGCATATCGAATGCATAAAAAGGATAAAGGAAATCAAAGATAAAGATAGTCTTGTGCTCGTCGATTTATTAAGAATTTTCGTTTTATCGCGTATATGTATATTTTTCAATGGATTATTTGCACAAGCATACGAAGGATTTTCAAGGAGATTCATATATATGTAAAATATAATCTTCTTTTCGTAATGTATAAATATCGTTTTTTTCCTCGAGACACTTTTATTATCAGCGGCACCAAAATGGGATATAATCATTTTTTTTCTTTCATTGTCGCGAATTATATCAGCCTTTTTTTTACAACGACCTAAATCCGCCCACCCAAAAAACTATCCTACGCGTCTCACTCACGTAAAAACGAATAGACGAATAATAGATTTTAACAAGGATTTTTTTTACAAAGAACAAAGAATGTGCATCGAGTATATACGTGTATACGATAACAAAAAAATCACGCTCATGAAGGATTTTTGTAGCGTACGATATATCACTTTTACGTAATGAACGAACTTGACGTGCCACGCCATATTAATTATTACATACATTAATAAAGAGCGTATTGAAATGTCTCTCTTAAAAAAGTTTTTTATATAAATTTTGGTGAAAACATAATTGAAAACAAGTAAATGAATGTTTCAGATTTGCGTTACAGTGATCATAATTAACTGTAACATTTTATGGAAATAATAAGTATACACACATTGTTTATAATAAAATTATTACTTTTATCTTTATCTCGGTATTGTTCCACGTTCGCGATAAAAATAGCAGCACATATCCTTCCTCTGTATCGGCAAAGTTACTCGAGCGAAAAATAAATTGCAATTTGAACTAACTTTGCCGCGTCGTGCATTTCCTTTCCGGCTTTAAAACTGAGGGCATGAATGAACATCGCCATAAAGGTCACACAAGGCGTAGGACGGCTAGATGGACGTTCATTTTGCCATATGCGAAAGTTTACTAGTGAAATATAAATCCAAGAGTGTAACGTAAATTTATCGAATAATGTCAGCTTTAAGCGACGTTCTCAAAAAGGCCACCGTCCCTCTCAATTTTGCCTAGTATGTTATATATTTTCCGTTACTTCCATTATCATATCTCATCATAGTTCATATTAAGGACGTTAAAATGACGAAAGGCTTTCACGTTGTATCAACAAAACTAACAACTATACGTGAATTTGTACGAGATACATATATGCGACTCCAAAATATGCACAAGACTAACCATTAATTATTCTATAATCTCGTTGACGTTTAATTTCACTTAATTGTGTAATGGAAAATTTTGACTTTAATTAATTAGGCTGTAATAGGCGATATAAAGTCATCAAAAAGCGATTAATCAACTAATCTAAAATTCGCATATTTATGTAGCATATATTCGGTTAGATTAAACGAAACGATATATATATCGTTTAATCTAACCAAATATAATTATTATTTGATAATACAATTCCAAAAATTGCGACAAAAATGCATACAAAAATTATTATTGCAATTAATGCATAAAAATATAATAATTTTTAATTATGTAACACATAAAAATTCAATATTTAAATCTTTTACAGAAAATACAAACAAAGAAATAAAATTTTCTACAAGAATCTTTTGTGATTAAATATTTACACTTTTATTAGACTCACGCGAAACTCCATACCCCATACATCCATCACGCTGCGCGATTCGCGCGAAACTGATTCTCGAGGCTCGAGTGGAGTATCACGAGCGCGGGCCCGATGGTCACGTGACCAGTGGTCACGTGATTACTAGTCATGTGACCATCAGGCCCGCGCTTGCGATACTCCGCTCGAGAATCAGTTTCGCGCGAACCGCGCAGTATGATGGACATGTGGGATGTATTAATCTGATGAAAAGGCTAGAAAGAGAGAGTTGCTTTCATCGTGCAGCGTGCAGAGCCGTGCAGCATAGCGGACACGTACAGATCGAAAGATTCTTGTAGAAAATTATATTAATTGTTTTTTATTAAAAATTTATATATTAAATTTTTATTAATCACGTAAATAATAAATATACTTTTATGCATACATTATATGCAATAATAATTTTATACATGCATTGCAATTTTTAAGGTTTTATTATCAAAGAATAATATAACTTTTCTTCGCGCTCGGAATTATATTCGATTAAATTAAAACAAAATGAGAAAAATATATATAGAGATACATCTGTACAAAATAGTCTTCAAACAATACAATAAAAATTCGGCAAATTAAAATTATGTACATAATAAAAATTCAATAAATTAAAATTATATACATAATAGAAATTCGGGAATTAAAATTATGTATATAATAGAAATTCGGCGATTTAAAATTATGTACATAATAAAAATTCTGGAATTAAAATTATGTACATAGTAATTCGGCGAATTAAAATTATGGTTATGACATCAAACAACTGTCATTGCGAAAATTAACAATTTGACAATTACAGAATAAACAATACATAAATGATATCAAAGCGCACGAAGTAGCGCACAAAGTAGCGCACGAAGCGCGCGCTTGTGTTGTCTAATATTGTAAATGTAGCATGTTATAAATAACGTTCATTGTTGATAAAATATGTATATATACATATATATATATATATATATATATATATCAAATATATGTATATAAAAAGAATAAAAAAGAACTTTTTTTTCGAAGCAATTTACGTAATATTGTGAACAAGTGCCACGAGTCGCTTTCAACCATTAATTTTGTTAACTTTGACTATCTCTGTTGTGTGCAAATTAGTTCCAACTTCTTGCATTGTTTGTCTTTTCAAAGTGCATAATTAACTTTTTGTTGTAATTAAACCGAATTAATGGTATCCCCATGACCTTGCTTATTTAAATTATTTAATTTATTTAAGTTGTATTTGCTACCGCGAATACTTTCCCTTAATTTCTTAAAAACTTTGCGCAAAAACTTAATATTGTTGTTAACATCGTATAGTATCGTCGTCGATATATTCGATATCACGAAATAATTTTTACAAAAATTATGGAAAAAAACTGTAACACTTGCACACATACTAAACATGTACTCTACAGACACCGTAACTAAAGTACTAATTACAACAGATAATCTTGTTTATAATCTATATTAAATTAATAGTACGTGTATTTTAATTGCTGTGTCGATCAAAAATCTATATTAAATGAGATAATTTGTACTTGTGATTCTAGATATTGTAATGCGTGTTCTTAAATTAAATTGAAAATTATTTTAATGTAATATCCTATACTTTCATAAAAAATGTCCTACTTCTTACGCACGTTATCTCTCTTGACAATAATTTTTTAATTTATTTGGAATTAATTGTATCTTATATAACAAAAATGTCGGAAGATTGGAATTTTCAAGCTTTTTAAACAAGATTAAAAAAAGCCCCCTTCCCTTTTACTAAACTTTAATTTTTTTTAAAGAGTATGAATGGATAATAAAATGACATCCTTGAGTAATTTTCAAATAAAATTAAAATTATTTTAATGAAAAATTTTATTACATATAGATAAAAAATGAGAACCGTCTTGCCTTGAAATTTTTGCCAAACAATAAAATTCATTTCAAATTTATCAACGAATTTGTTCTTAATAAAGAAAATTGCAATTGTATTTGTTTACCTATACACAGTAATATTACTTTTGCAAAGTGAAATCGCAATCAGACTAAATAACGATAAATGAATAAAGTGTTTTCCAAGTAAAGTAATTCGATCAAATTTCCCGATCAAATAATTCGATCTTAAAGAGAATTTTCTGTCTATAGCCTTGACATGAAACACCGCGTAAAGAAGGCACGATCAAAATGAAAGAATTTTGCAATTGGTTCCATCACCAAAGTAAAGAGAACTTTCTCATTAAATCCTCTATTTTTTTCCATCTGTGTGTACTTAAAGTTGTACATCGTGAAAATTGTTTGGCGACACTTTTAAATAGAAATTTCTCTCTACCGACAGCTTTCGTCTACCGACTGATAGGGATGAAAAGAAAGCGATGAGCTGAAGTATAAAAGCGGTCCTCTAAAAGCTGCACGTCATGTGGCTTCGTTCATTTCTTGTGCGATGTACATCGTGGAAACTCTAGCTAGCCTTAACCCTTCAACTTTCTGTTATTGAATGTTGAACTCTTTTTTTTTCCTGTCACCGACAACGTACAACTGATACTTTTTGCTAACAATGGAACGATATTCTCATCTCTTCCAGTTCGACGTCATCAGAAAATTGAAAAAAACCTACTTCCAGATAATTAAATCTATCGATTTATTTAAATTCCAAGCAGAATAACAAAGATTAAATTATATACCAAACGCGACCGTCGATATGTTATATATCGCACAATATTATACAATATCATTTTTTCCTCCGTTCCGTATAGACAGACTATCAAATTGAACTGTCACGAATCAGATATAAAAATTATCTTAGTATAAAGGCAGACAATAAGTTTGCACGCGATGATACGATTTAAATCCAAGATATGCTTCTTTCAGCCGTGTCGGTGTCGGTGGGTGTCTGGACTTTGGTAGCTATTTCTCTAGAACGTTACTTCGCTATTTGCCGACCGTTGAAGTCGAGACGATGGCAGACACAATTTCATGCTTACAAAATGATTGCTGTCGTGTGGACTCTCAGTCTTACGTGGAACGCGCCGATCCTGATCGTATCTCGATTAAAGGATTTGCGTGGAGGTAAGAGAACGCTGATACATGGCACCTGTACCTTATTTAAGCGAATAACAAACATGGAGAAATGAATAACAAATGTGACCGAATAATATTTTACCACAGCACTGACAATACAATAGCTATGAGAATTATGGATTAAATTGTTTGTTTCGATTCATCTTTTTTTACGCGCTTAAAATAACCATTTGCAGCCATTAAATAATCATGAATGCATGTATTTTGCAACGCGACATTTGCAATATTTGTTAAAAAAACGTTATATGTTGCAACTATTCGCAGAAGTGAGGCCAACTTTTTTTTATACCGTGTTGACATTTTCCTCTCAGCCCAATATATCGACATCCGCATCTCGTCTTCCTCCGGGAATTGCACTCGTCGGTGTAGGTGGCTTATACATATACATATTATCCAACAACTGAGACATATTGAACACTCTGCAATATTGAACAGAAGAAATTGAGCCCTTTGTGCGGATAAAATTTTGTTCGTTACGTAAGAGATGTTTTTTTATTCTAATAAAAAAGTGCTTTTAATCAGTGAAATATTAGTGATATCTTAAAACAATAATAAATAGTTAGTACCAAACAATTAAATTTAATATTAATTATGATTGACTTGTGATCTGTTGCATAAAATCGATGTATTATATCGATATATTGCTTTAAGATATCAATTAGTAATTCGTGTTCGCCGTGATATTCGGAAGATCTCTAGCACTTAATCTAATCTAAAGTAGAGATATGTGTATGTAGAATATATATGTATGAACTATCTATAACTATGTATAAGGATAATATGACTGCATTATATTACATAGTTCCTTCAGCATTAATTACACATTCTCTGATGCAGGCTTCTCTTCTTAAGATATTAAAAGTAAATTGTGAAGAGTAATATTGTGATATTATATTATATATTAATATTATATTAAAATATACCATATATATAATACAGAAATCGTATACGACTTATTAAACTTTGATATTGAGGCAATGAAAGTTAATTGCATCGCAGCATCATTACCGACTACTTCACACATTTATTTTTATACTCCCTACATTTCGTTTCATTAACAAGAGTTAATTTCCAGAATATTAATTATCGTCGTGAATTTAGGGAATACAAAATTTGTCATACATAACGTAATTATTTTAACAACTTTACAACAATTAATAATACTACAAATTATTATAAAATTATTTAATAGATATATTAATCTAATTATACATTATAATAAATGCATACACACATACATAATTATACAGATATGAATATATTAAAATTGATTAATTAATTAAACACTCTATATAAAATAAAAAAAATAGAATAATGTTTAATTAACAATTTTAATTAATGGTTGCATTTAGGTTCTCCGTGTGAACAAATAAGAAATTAGGAGACCCTGTTTTAACCGCATAGTCGTTTTCCACTGGGATACAAATTCCCGATTACGTCACAGCTCTATCTAATCAGTCGAATTTTACGGTTAAACCATTGAAAATCTCTCTCGCATAACGCTTTCAGGAAGACGTAAATGTCGCGAAGAATGGCCGAATGTCGGTACCGAGAGAGCGTACAATCTTTTCCTGGATGGCACGTTGCTTCTGATACCACTGCTGCTCATGAGTCTGGCCTATTCGCTGATAGCGATAAAACTCTGGCGCGGTTTGAAGCTCGAGATACGACAGTCGTCGACATGCACTAGAAGACGTAAGTCAAGTGTCGCTTCGGATATATCAAAATGCATGTGTACGTCAATTCTCGCGAGATGTCAGAAAACAGTTCGTTGACATTCGACTTTATTGGAAATAATAAAGAATTCTTGAAAGAATTACGTGAAACACACAAATCAACAAAATTGTTTAATGGTGCAATTAATAATTTCGTCTTAATAGTTTTCGTCTATATAAGAGGGTGTCTCCAAAAATAAATTAAATATTTTGAGATAAATAATTCAATTAGAGAAATGCAAATGATATGTCGATCTTCTGCATAATTATTCTTCTTCTCAATACATTTTTTATATCGTTGCACCAACTTCTTTATTCCATTAGACAAAATATTTTTGGTTGTGCCTTTAGTTAGGAATGCACCGCTTCTTTAATTTTATTATCATTCTCAAATCTTTATCCTTTCAAAGCGTCTAAACACATGTTAATTAGAGGGAATAAGGATAGGGAAATGCTGTAAGATCAAAGAAGAAACGATGCATTCCTGGCTGAAGACAAAAACATTTTTTTGTAATGGAATAAAGAAGTTATTGGTGTAACAGTGTAAGAAGTGTATTGAAAAAGAAGATAATTATATATATAAAAAAATTGACCTATTGTTATATCTCTGATTAAATGATATCAAAATATTTAATTTGCTGTTACTTTTCGAAACATCCTTTTACTCGAATCTCAAGTGTAACTTGGCACAAATGTCAACTAATTGTAAGTTATATGTAATGAAATGCCACTTGCAGATAGTCTTAAAGTCAAATTCGTATCAAGATTGAAGGTTGTGAACGTTGTGAATTACAGTAGAGAGAACAGCGTCTAACGCGACAGTTCGAGGCTCAACTTACAACAATAACAATGACAGAGAAGCAAGATCGACGACGTTTCGCGCTTGCGGTCCAACTTCGAGGTCGCGTCGAGGCTTCTCGTCTTCTTCGAGGCACTTTCAAGGCGCTCAGGGTGCACCATCTAGGGTGAGAAAATATTGAGTAAACATTACCTTGGAAAATGTAATATCAATGTCAAATTAAATTATCACGATTTATATTGAGCGTCGCCGAAGAGACAAGAGATCGAACGCTTAATGGTTTTAATTATTTGTCTTGTTTGTAGTATTTTCTCTTAATCCTGCAATTAGTTTAATCAAATCTCTCTAAACAATGCGTATACAAAGATATTAGCTTTTGCTTACAGACGTTGACAGATATCCTTAGATTATTTTCTATAATAAGTAAACAAAAAAATTTTTATAATAAAGTATATTATAAAATATATTATTTTATTCCATCCTTTATAAATATAAGCAAAAAGTAAATTTCGCAATTGTAAAAATGTTTTTAAATTGTTATCTCTTGTTTAACGTTTTTTTATCAAATTAAATTTTGAAATAAATTGTTGAAAGATCTGGTTTATTTTAATATTGACGAAATTCAATTTTGTTTTTTTTTGTTACCAGCGTAGAATTAATATAGTTGAAATACTAAAAATTGCCAGTTATCCATAAAGATATATTTAATAGATAATATTATACGTAAATGTTTCGGGCTTAATTTTCGGGTAATTATCCTGGTTAACAATTCATTTACTTTAATTAATTATCATTTTATTATCATAACAAGCAGCTTATTAATATAATCGGTTGCGGTTTTGATTATAAATTGGGAGAGTGTGACCACTGTATTATTAATTTCCCTCGGCTAATCGAGATTCCATGATCGAGCGAAATGGACCGCGGTAGATTTTGCGAAATAGAATGACAAATGAAGTCGTTTGACGTTTCGAGACGTTCGAGCAAAAACACGTGTAACAGTTAACCGAGACATCATCAACCAGACATTCTCTTCCTCATCCCTTTATCCCCCTCCCAGAAAAAGGTGCGGTCACCACGGACAGTAGTCTCCAGGGTGCTTCTTACCGACAAGTGTCACGGTACAGATTTGTCCCAGGGATCCAGGATTCAGATACGAGCGAACGGAAGCAACTGCTTAACGCGGGACACGAAGGATCTCCCTAACGAGGATCAGCAGGACTCGACCTGCCCGTTTAGCAGACAACACGTGATACGCAGTAATTACATGGGAAAAAGCATCGAGGCCAAGAAGAAGGTATGCATTCATACGAGCGACTGATTAAACGAAACTATGCGAACGCTATGCTTTGCGCGCGATTTCCGCTTCGGTAAAATTTAACGCGTAATTACGTATGCGCTTTGCATGCATATAAAGTGCGCTCGTAGCGGGTCCCGGTTTCTAGGAAATCGCGAAATCTGGAGCGAACGTAGGAAAAAGCCGCGCTTACTGGCGCACGCCAGGTCGAGAGATATTTATCGCCAACTCGCGAGACTATATTAACCCTCTATTATTCCCCTGCAATGCTCACTCGCAAAGAATCTCGTACATATACAAGGTGCAAAATTTCTCCATTTTCTTTCCATTAACAAATTCTTCGGCCAATTTTGGAGGCGATTTTTCCTCGGCGAAAATGTCGAGGTCATTTCTTGCAATTCTAAAATTAACTGAAGAATTTTTGTGAGTTTTGTTAGTATTTACACTCTACAAAGTTTAGTTTCGAAAAGTCTTTCTTTCTCGCTCCCTTATAACTCGAAAATTACCTGGATATGTTCACCGAAGAAAACTAGTTTCCAGAAAATCTGGTATTGGATAGAAAATACACCGAAATTTAGTTGCACCCTGTATATTTGCAGTCTATAAATATATAGAGGAAAAATCGTAATATATTTTGCGCGTAAGACGATTTAATCTCGCATGCATGCATGCATAGATCCGGGCTCGAATCAGAAGACAATCGTAGCGCCATATTAATACGCATGATACAAGAATATCACAAATTTGAACATGAATATTTCAGCCCGGTTAGTAGTTTCTGACTCGCGACCGGATATTAAGTAGACACGTTTCGTTCGCCGCATTGAAGAGGCGTCTTCTTTTTGGGTTGCCGCAGGTGATCCGAATGCTCTTCGTGATTGTCCTCGAGTTCTTCGTGTGCTGGGCGCCGCTGCACGTGATCAATACATGGTATCTTTTCGCGCCCGATCTGGTCTATTCGATCGTCGGTAGCACCGGCATCAGTCTGGTCCAGTTATTGGCCTATGTGTCCAGCTGCTGCAATCCCATCACGTACTGTTTCATGAACAGAAAATTTCGTCAAGCGTTCCTTGGTCTCTTCGACTGCCACCGTTGCTGGAGGTAAAATTTAGGTGAAACCGCGCGCGTGCATAATATGTATATCCCTTAACACAGACAAAACGTAAACTTGAAGGAATTATGACGACACGTAAGACGGAGCTCTCCCTTGTTCAAATCTGTTCTCTTTATGAGTTGTACTACTTGGACTACTTCACCCGGCGAGGGATTAATTTCGCCGAAGATATGTAGAAGAGTTCCCTCTTGGAGCTGCCGCAACTAGTTAAGAAGGCTATAATTACGTAATAGCCATCTCTCCTACCAAACCTTGTTAAAGTTATTAACAACAGAGCTCGTTCTTAAGAGTTACAAAAAAGTTCAGTTTGTTCCTTTTAAATGCGGCATGGAATTGAATGCATAAAATTATGAAACGTACAAGTTTTTGCGTATGTTAGTTACATAAATACAAAAATTCACCTTTTGAAGAAAGTTTAAGAACTGCACGATTCTAGAGAGGAAAGAAAGAATCCATGGCTGGAGTTGTATCGTAAATGGAACGGTCACGTAAACGGACGTGCGTTTTATTTTAGGGTAGGTTGCAGACACAGCGACATCGCTATGGCGGCCACGGGAAATGCCGGGCAAGCTGGCAATAACAGCGAATTAAGCGGAAATGACTCGACGGTGTATCTAGGCAGAGCATCCCTCGTCGCCAGATCAGGTATCATCCTACCGCTAAGTTGATCGTTCATTATCGTCATTCTCGTAGATCCGGTTGCGACATCGTCCATCATTTTCAAGATTCCGATTACGTTACCTCGAGATGTTATATATGATACCACAGTGGCCCAGATTCTGTCAAATTATCATAACATTACACGTAACTTTCAAGAAGTCTGTCAGCTTATCTTACCGCATGTCAAAACATTAATTAAATTCTACACACAAAAATTTTACATACCATATTGTAATAAATACGAATAAAATGTACATTTCTAATGCATGACATTTTCCAAGTTAATAGAGTCTAGTTCGTAACCAAAACTAAACTAAAGCACTGACGTGATCGATATCCGTCTCGAACATTCACTGGCTTTTCATGGCATACGTTAGTGTTCCCACGTGTAATTCCTTCATGAGATACCGGCTTACATTTACTATATATATGCACCGGATGTGTCTCTAAACTTTTGAATGAATAATTAGACCGTGCTCTAATTCTTACTTGTGTGAACGTTAATTATTTGTATTTGTTGTATACGACTGTCCTCTCGGTCTGCATATATAATAATAATGTAGAATGAAAGTAGGAATTTCAACGATAAATAGTAGCAAACGCGTACACATAAGACATAATACACATAAATTCATTTAATTTGTGCTTCAAAAATTTGATGTGCGATTTAATTAATTGTCAAAAGAGGAAAAAATTATTACTTTGCAAGTGTAGCGAAAAATGAGAATATGTTTTCACAAAACAGGATATACTAGTTTTATCTTACGGATGACAAACTAATATCGATCCATCATAGATAATTGGAGATTATTATGCAAAAAATACCATCTTTAGAACATAATTTTTTTGGATCATGGCATTTTTTAAACATATATTAAAAATAAAATTTTATGTCAATTTCAAAATTGATTTTTTGGCAGTTGTTTTTTTGCGTTTTATCTTGAAATCATTAAACATTGAAACATTGTGCAGTTTGATTGCCAGATAAAATGGCCATATAAAATGTAATAGTAATCTATAACAATCTCGAATTTAAATTCAACAATAAATTTGAGAATTGTCATGTGTTGTTAATCAGATTACGTAACGCAATAAATAATAATGAATTTCATAAAAACTATAAGCGCTGCTTATCTTTCGACACACTTCAATTTAAAATAAATTTCCACGTGAAGATAATATTCCAGCTTTTTTCCCCTCATCACAAATGCATTGCTTCCTTTTTATTCTTAAAAATTTATTTCGTAAAAAATGTATTTTTCCGTAATCTTTATTTTTTATCCGTGCAATAATTTGTGCAAAAATATAAGACTGGTAAAAATATGTGAACGATTTAACATTCTACATTATCTGAAAAATAATTACTCAAGTCCGAATATCCATATAATCCGGATTCTAATTCGGAAGATGAATCTGTTTAAATTTCTCTACGAGAATTTCGCTTGATAAATAATTTTCTCTCTCGTCGTGTTAAAAAATTTCGAGTACATCTTTATTTTTACCAAAGAAGAAAAAATATCCTATCGCATCTGATCCGAATGAATGAATTTGCGGATTTAGACGGATACACTATATCGGGCTTGAGTGAAACAAATAATGATTATTTCGAATACGGAAAATCCGGAGTATTTGTATGAACGCTCGTCTTCACGGGACGGGAATATTGTTTCAGAGGTGGTTCGGTTGCTGGAGGAGGAAGATCGCGTCTAGTATAGGTCGTGCGGATTATGCGATGGGGCGACGGAACCGAATGTATCTCTGCCCCAATTTCGCGAGCAGGAGGAGGATTTCTTCCTGAAAATATCCTGGCGCTCGCCCGCCGACAGGATCGCTTGTCGTGGAAGCGGCAAGGAAACACTCGCGTGTGCGTCTCATTGCTCATCGAGATCTTCTTGCATGGACAATCTCAACTTCCTTTACGATTAAGCGAAAGTAAGCGAGATGCATCGACGTCGAGGCGCGTATTTTTTGGCCTAACATAGAAATTTCGGGAGATCTCTTTTTATACTTTTAGTTCATTCATATATGGAGATTACGAAAGGTTCGGAGAAACGTCTCTATATAGTATCTTGCCGGCTTCTCCGTTGAATATGTCTTATTTTTCTATTCCGCATAAAATCGATCGCATTCATAGAAAAATATAATATCGCGTTAGTGTTTTTTGTACAGATCTCTGTCAAACAGATCGGACGGATGAAAGTTTTTTACAATGTAATCGCAGATACGTAAAATTAAATTAGTTTGTCAAATATATTATATATCTTAATGAATTAACAATTTAAAATTGATGAAATTGATATTCATTAATAAGTCATATATTAAGTGTATAATTGATCGATACGTTTCTAATAATGATAAAATACTTCAAAATGATAGTTACAAATATTGAAAAAAATTGTAATTTTTCATCAGGTTCTTATCCTTGAAATATATTTAATATATAATAATGATATAGCACATTCTAATTAAATTTTTGCGATATCGTAAAAAATGCATTTTCGGAAGATTAATAATTCATCTGATTTTGCGAAATAATGTTTTTCAAGTATTCATAAAAAGAATGTTAAAAGCGCTTTGAGCACTTTCGCACAGGTAAGCTTAAAGCTGTAGAGCCGTAAAACATATTTATTCAGTAAACGGAGTTTTATGTGGAAAACAAACACAGTTATGCTATTTCAGCTTAACGCTTGCTCATTTATGTTACTTATGCTAATTTTGAGAAGCAGTTTTAAATTTAATGTTTGCACACATATTATATCCAGTCAAATATATTTTACAAATGATTCCATTTTATAACTCCAACATTAGGTAATATTTAATTCAATTTCTATTCATTCTTTGCCATTAATTAATTATCGCTCCAGAAATACATTTGGTGTGTGCTTAAAAAGATTTTTTTTTGACAAAATGTATCAAATATAGTTTACAAATAATTCCATTTTATAACTCCAATATTAGGTGATATTTAATTCAATTTCTATTAATTCTTAGCCATTAATTAATTATCGCTCCAGAAATACATTTGGTGTGTGCTTAAAAAGATTTTTTTTGACAAAATGTATCGTTCTCCGCGTGTAAGAGAGAAGAAGAGGAAAAAAGAATTTTTATATACAAATGCCACATGTTATATGCAGTTCTCATAACTTTCATCATACATATCTTTGATACACCTGTTGCACACGTTTCATGAACCTGCCAGGGAATAACCCTTAAATGATAACGCGAGATATAATATATATACAGCCACGTCGCTTAAAGCCGTACTTGCTGTGTTTCCAGAGTTTTACATTTATATATAATACTTTAATGTCTTTTTTCGTGACCAAGTATTATTGCTCGTGTAACGCGAGCACTCACACAGATTCAAGCCTGTTACAAATTGCTACATTAAAATTTGCGCATTTTAAAAAAAATTTACTCTTGAATCCATTTATCATTTTAATATATTTTTAAATATCATGAAAATACTTCTCATTATTAATAGTAGTTTTTCCACGTCCAGAGATATCAGATTTCTGTGAAATATATATTAATATTGTATATATAATGAAAAATCTATATCCGCCTAAAGTTTTGAAACTGCTGCTTTTATTAAATAACTGTGTTTGTTTGGATATACTTCTCAATTTCTCTTATATAATCTTTTAATCTAATAATATAACAATGTTACATGTATGTTTTTTATTTATTAAAAATGTTTAAATGTTTAAAAAAAGTTACACATAAATGCAATGGATATATCTCTATGTACAAAAAGTATATTGATCGTTATATTGTACGACGAAATATAGATATTACTACTTAAATTCTGTTAAGATAAACATATCGTGGCTCAACCGGCATCACATAATTATTTGCAAAAATACAGATTGTGCATCGCGTATAAAAATAAAATTTGTTCCTCGTAGGGTTCTATATTCTTCTGAAAAAATATATTCGAAAGTTCTTCGCGCCGCTGCAACACTTGTAACAAAATAGAAATAAGATTTGATCGATTTTAGACACTGCGCAAAGATGTTTAATAAACTTTTTTCAACACAACTACAATCTCGCTTTTATTTTTTGATTGAATTTCAAGAGTCCTTTGCTCTCCCAATTTCACTATTTACTCTGTCCTTTAGTTCTCCAACATTTTCTCTGATGAATGAATACTGTAAAAGTGTTTCATTTTCACCGTCTGTTGTTTTCTACGTTATTTTCTAAATATGGAAAACATTTCCACGAGCTTAAATAAATTTTAAATTAAAACATAAACTATGATCCTTCTATCCAACAACATAACAAGATGCGAGAATAATTTTATACACTCATGAAAAATAATATTTTATCGAAATATTAATTCCGTTAGTTTTAACTAGAATCTTAATTAAGATCTTGACTTGGATTAAATTTCTGTTTTAATAAGTACAAATGTAATTTTGTAAGCAAGTTAAAAGAAAATTGATCGTGATGTAACGCAACTTTCTTCTGTTACGTAATACATTAATATACCTATCTGTAAAATATACTTTTATACTTTTATGTAATTTTTTGTTCATTGCATTGACACGCTCGTTGTGAAAGGACATTCTCACAAAGAAATTGATTACAGATTACTTTATAAAGTTTTCGTTTCATGTGTTTGTTTTGCAGAATATTGCGGAATATAATAATCAAGAGAATATGGAGAAAATGTTAAAAAAAAAATCTATTTTTTTTGTTACTCTACTCTCGTCGAGTTATATACATATATATATATATATATATATATATATATATACAATATACATTCGACAAATCAAGCAATCACAGAGTGAGACTTTTTTGTAATTCAATTTTTCGATACAATAAAATCTATATTGTGTGTGTGTGAGAATTCTCCTGAAAAGAAATGAAAAAATTTGATTAAAAATATCTCAATAAAAATTCTCATATCAAAGAACATCTTTCAAATTTTTTGTACACCTACATACATATATATGTGAATCGTATCGCTATTGTTTACTTTTTCTTGGATTAATAATTCTTACCGCAAAGGTTGAGGTAAAGCTGGGTTACATCTATACAAACATGAGTTCTTGTAAAGCTAAGAAAGGATATTGTCCCATGTCGGCCACTTAATCTCGTGTCTTATCGGTCCACGAGGAATTTATCCCAACCCAATTATTAATCAGAGACTATGGCTTGTTTCAGGGAGTAAAAACCCAAAGGACGAAAATACTTCAATATATTACGTCACGTGCATTTATCATTTTCCTACAATATTTAATCTCGTTCTTGTCACGAAAAGTTATGGAAATAGATGCGAGGACGTGACTGGAAATGAAGTTATTGAATAAATTCATTAAAGAGTCATATGCAAAAAACGGTTTCTCGCGTTATTTCCGTGGCTTTTTATACAAATCTCGAAAAGTTTGGCTGCCCGATGTTTAATGCGATTAATAAAACCATCCGGAATGTTATGCATAATACATAAAGTTTTTGTGATGGCATTTCGTAAGCGCGGCTATCGTTCAGAAATTGTTTTTATCTAATAAAAATATTATTTACTTTATATAAAAGAAGGGGTTCGATTTTGTTGGCTATGTAATCTTTTCGCGCGATATAAACTCTCGGTAATCTCGTAAGCAAAATATATTCTCTCAAGGCACTAGATCGTAAAGTTTCTGATAAAAGATTTACTCGTTTTCTCATCATATTTTATATCTGGTTTATCATTCTTGAAATATACTTCTCGTTCTATTCCTCTATCTAACCGACTAGATTGAAAGTTTCTTGACAGTAAATCGAAAATAACATGTTTGCTTGATGTTTCACTTTTATAAATAATATATAAAAATGTTTACATACTTGATACAATTTTATTCGAAATAAAAAAATTACTATGTAATTTTTATAAAAATTATGAATTATAAATACACACACAATACGCGTACGAGATACATTTAATTTATATATTAATTATTTTTATATATTTAATGAATTTTAATCACTATTTTTCTCTTGCTACACATTTCATTTATGCGTGTGTAATCTATATAATTCTGGCAGAGTTGTGCACAAATTACAAACGCGTTTATTGACGAAATATTTGATTATCTAAAATTGGCCGTGAACAATCCTATGGTTTGTTTCTTACTGAACTTGTCATACATTTTACATGAGAGATGGAACAATGGTAAATCCATTTTAATTTGCATTTCGAATAAACGGTTAAAGCTAATCCGACCATTGTAATGGAAACCAGATTTAATACCGTTACCACCGGATAGCCATTGTTTAATTTGCCTTTCTGCAGTTTTATTTTCTGTATGTATTGTAATTTATATGACGCTCAACGGCAATTTTTATTGACGCAATCCGCAATTAATTAATTGCAAAAAATAAAATGCTATCTATATTATTAATTGACGTAAATTATGAACGCAGTAATCTCTCTCTCGTTTATTACATGTTACTATATTTATATTTTATTTAATTATTAATTAAATTTTACTTATTTAATAACAATTAAAAGTTTAACGATATATATAATATAATATAATATATTTTTATATATCATATTTATAATACTAATATTTATTTGTCCGCGAATTAAAAATATTCGAATAAAGGTACGATATTATAATTCAATATTAAACTTAACAAAATAAAATATGAAAGTTAATATATAATATAAAATTAATTTAATATAAACTAAATTATTAGTAATATATACAATATATATTGAATAATTATAAATATAAAAAAAATTAATTTCAGTTCACAATATCAACACAGAAATCAAGGGATTAGAAATTGAATTAGGATCATGTGTGTAGAACGATTAACTTAATCCGTTTTTCCAGCAGCGGTAGAAAGTATACCAGGAAGGAAGACGAAGTGTGTTGAAAGGATTTCCTATCTGTACACGTTCTTAGAATTCTAAGGATGCACGCTATATTGGAAGATAAAAGTCGTACAACGGAAAAGCGATTTCGCAACTCACCGCTTTTTGCAGCTATCCTATATAATCGATTTCAACCCTACTCGTCACAAAGATACCAGAATACACATACAAAGAGATACGAGTTAACTGGCCGTCGAAAGCAAAGATAATTCTTCAATATTGAGATTTCTTTAGACTAATGGTATTATCCTGAAAAAAATCTTGATGTTCCTTGACGATCCAAAGAAGTAGTAATTTTATTTGATCGAATCCTTTATCATCAAATTCTCTCCTTTGTCGTACATACATTTCAAAATTAATCTGTCATTAAAGTTTTATATTGATAAAAAAGAAACTTTAAAAAACCATCACTTTATATGCGTAAAATTAATAAATAAAAAGTAATATTTCTGAATAAAGAAAAATTAAACTCGCGCAAAATTTTACATTTATCAATGTCGATGAGAAAAAACCGCGAA